TCTGGTGAACGTGTCTGGTGGTGAGCGCGTCTGGTGAGTGTGTCTGCTGAGTGTGTCTAGTGAGTGTGTCTGGTGAACGTGTCTGGTGGTGAGCGTGTCTGGTGAGCGTGGCCGGTGAGCGGCGGTGCGTCTGCAGCGTCTGCGCAGGAGCCTGCCGCTGGGCCTGATGCGCCGCGTCTCCTCGGCCTCAGCCTCATCCACGTGGACCACCACGACGTCCGCCACCGGCCTGCCCGCCGTCGAAGCCGGGCCCATCCGCAGGGACCGCCGCCCGCCACCGGCACACGACGCCCACGGGTGAGCCACTCGCCACTCACCGGACACGCTCGTCACTCACCGGACACGCTCGTCACTCACCGGACACGCTCGCCACTCACCGGACACGCTCGTCACTCACCGGACACGCTCGCCACTCACCGGACACGCTCGTTACTCACCGGACACGCTCGTAACTCACCGGACACGCTCGCCACTCACCGGACACGCTCGTCACTCACCGGACACGCTCGTTACTCACCGGACACGCTCGCCACTCACCGGACACACTCGCACTCACCGGACACGCTCGCCACTCACCGGACACGCTCACCACTCACCGGACACGCTCGTCACTCACCGGACACGCTCGCCACTCACCGGACACGCTCGTCACTCACCGGACACGCTCGCCACTCACCGGACACGCTCGCCACTCACCGGACACGCTCGCCACTCACCGGACACGCTCGTTACTCACCGGACACGCTCGTTACTCACCGGACACGCTCGCCACTCACCGGACACGCTCGTCACTCACCGGACACGCTCGTTACTCACCGGACACGCTCGCCACTCACCGGACACACTCGCCACTCACCGGACACGCTCGCCACTCACCGGACACGCTCACCACTCACCGGACACGCTCGTCACTCACCGGACACGCTCGCCACTCACCGGACACGCTCGTCACTCACCGGACACGCTCGCCACTCACCGGACACGCTCGTTACTCACCGGACACGCTCGTTACTCACCGGATACGCTCGCCACTCACCGGACACGCTCGTCACTCACCGGACACGCTCGTTACTCACCGGACACGCTCGCCACTCACCGGACACACTCGCCACTCACCGGACACGCTCGCCACTCACCGGACACGCTCGTCACTCACCGGACACGCTCGTCACTCACCGGACACGCTCGCCACTCACCGGACACACTCGCCACTCACCGGAGACGCTCGCCACTCACCGGACACGCTCGTTACTCACCGGACACGCTCGTTACTCACCGGACACGCTCGCCACTCACCGGACACGCTCGTCACTCACCGGACACGCTCGTTACTCACCGGACACGCTCGCCACTCACCGGACACACTCGCCACTCACCGGACACGCTCGCCACTCACCGGACACGCTCGTCACTCACCGGACACACTCGCCACTCACCGGACACGCTCGCCACTCACCGGACACACTCGCCACTCACCGGAGACGCTCGCCACTCACCGGACACGCTCGCCACTCACCGGACACGCTCGCCATTCACCGGACACGCTCGCCACTCACCGGACACGCTCGCCACTCACCAGAGACACTCGCCACTCACCGGACACGCTCGCCACTCACCGGACACGCTCGCCACTCACCGGACACGCTCGTCACTCACCGGACACGCTCGCCACTCACCGGACACGCTCGCCACTCACCGGACACGCTCGCCACTCACCGGACACGCTCGTCACTCACCGGACACGCTCGTCACTCACCGGACACGCTCGCCACTCACCGGACACACTCGCCACTCACCGGAGACGCTCGCCACTCACCGGACACGCTCGCCACTCACCGGACACGCTCGCCACTCACCGGACACGCTCGCCACTCACCGGACACGCTCGCCACTCACCAGAGACACTCGCCACTCACCGGACACGCTCGTCACTCACCGGACACGCTCGCCACTCACCGGACACGCTCCCCACTCACCGGACACGCTCACCACTCACCGGACACGCTCGCCACTCACCGGACACGCTCGCCACTCACCTGGCACGCTCGCCACTCACCGGACACGCTCGCCATTCACCGGACACGCTCGCCACTCACCGGACACGCTCGCCACTCACCAGAGACACTCGCCACTCACCGGACACGCTCGTCACTCACCGGACACGCTCGCCACTCACCGGACACGCTCGCCATTCACCGGACACGCTCGCCACTCACCGGACACGCTCGCCACTCACCGGACACGCTCGCCACTCACCGGACACGCTCGCCATTCACCGGACACGCTCGCCACTCACCGGACACGCTCGCCACTCACCGGACACGCTCACCACTCACTGGACACGCTCGTCACTCACCGGACACGCTCGCCACTCACCGGACACGCTCGTCACTCACCGGACACGCTCGCCACTCACCGGACACGCTCGTCACTCACCGGACACGCTTGCCACTCACCGGACACGCTCGTCACTCACCGGACACGCTCACCACTCACCAGAGACACTCGCCACTCACCGGACACGCTCGCCACTCACCGGACACGCTCGCCACTCACCGGACACGCTCACCACTCACCGGACACACTCACCACTCACCGGACACGCTCGTCACTCACCGGACACGCTCACCACTCACCAGAGACACTCGCCACTCACCGGACACGCTCGCCACTCACCGGACACGCTCGTCACTCACCGGACACGCTCACCACTCACCAGAGACACTCGCCACTCACCGGACACGCTCGCCACTCACCGGACACGCTCGCCACTCACCGGACACGCTCGTCACTCACCGGACACGCTCGTCACTCACTGGACACGCTCGTCACTCACCGGACACGCTCACCACTCACCAGACACACTCGCCACTCACTGGACACGCTCGCCACTCACCAGACACGCTCGCCACTCACCGGACACGCTCACCACTCACCGGACACGCTCGCCACTCACCGGACACGCTCGCCACTCACCGGACACGCTCGCCACTCACCGGACACGCTCGCCACTCACCGGACATGCTCGCCACTCACCGGACACGCTCGCCACTCACCGGACACGCTCGTCACTCACCGGACACGCTCGCCACTCACTGGACACGCTCGTCACTCACCGGACACGCTCACCACTCACCGGACACGCTCACCACTCACCGGACACGCTCGTCACTCACCGGACACGCTCACCACTCACCAGAGACACTCGCCACTCACCGAACACGCTCGCCACTCACTGGACACGCTCGTCACTCACCGGACACGCTCGCCACTCACCGGACACGCTCGTCACTCACCGGACACGCTCGCCACTCACCGGACACGCTCACCACTCACCAGAAACACTCGCCACTCACCGGACACGCTCGCCACTCACCGGACACGCTCGTCACTCACCAGACACGCTCGTCACTCACCGGACACGCTCACCACTCACCAGGCACACTCACCACTCACCGGACACGCTCGCCACTCACCGGACACGCTCGTCACTCACCAGACACGCTCGTCACTCACCGGACACGCTCGCCACTCACCGGACACACTCGTCACTCACCGGACACGCTCGCCACTCACCGGACACACTCACCACTCACTGGACACGCTCGTCACTCACCGGACACGCTCACCACTCACCGGACACGCTCGTTACTCACCAGACACACTCACCACTCACTGGACACACTCACCACTCACCGGACATGCTCACCACTCACCTAGCACCCTCACCTTCACTAGACACCCTCACTAGACACACTCACCACTCACCGGACACCCTCACCTTCACCAGACACACTCACCACTCACCAGACACACTCACCACTCACCAGACACACTCACCACTCACCCGACACACTCACCAACACGCTCACCAGACACTCGCCCTCACGAGGCCCACGGGAGAGGCTGGTGCTCACCCCCAGTAGACCGTGGTGAGTGACCGTGGGTGAGGAAGGTGACATGGAGATTGTTGATGCCAACGTTGACAATGTCATGGCTCTCTTTCATCACGGTGATGATGACGGCGATGTGAATGATGACGATGATGCCGACGATGTTGACGATGATGCCGACGATGTTGACGATGATTCCGACGATGTTGACGATGTCAATGATGATGATGTTGATGATGCCGATGATGATATCGATGATGTCGACGGTGATGATGTTGAGAATGTCGACGATGATGTCGAGGATGATGATGATGATGATGTCAACGATGTTGTGGATGATGATGATGTCAACGATGTTGTGGATGATGATGATGATGTCAACGATGTTGAGGATGATGATGATGATGATGACGATGTGGATGATGATGATGATGATGTCAACGATGTTGTGGATGATGATGATGATGTCAACGATGTTGTGGATGATGATGATGATGATGTCAACGATGTTGTTGAGGATGATGATGATGTCAACGATGTTGTGGATGATGATGATGACGATGTCAACGATGTTGAGGATGATGATGATGTCAACGATGTTGAGGATGATGATGATGTCAACGATGTTGTGGATGATGATGACGATGTCAACGATGTTGTTGAGGATGATGATGATGTCAACGATGTTGTGGATGATGATGATGATGATGTCAACGATGTTGTGGATGATGATGATGTTGATGATGTCAACGATGTTGTGGATGATGATGATGACGATGTCAACGATGTTGAGGATGATGATGATGTCAACGATGTTGAGGATGATGATGATGATGTCAACGATGTTGTGGATGATGATGATGACGATGTCAACGATGTTGTGGATGATGATGTCAACGATGTGGATGATGATGACGATGTCGACGATGACGCTGCCCCCCCCCCCCCCCCCGGGCCAACCCACCCCCCCCCCCTCCTCCTCTTTGTCGTGCAGCGGCGGCGTCGTCACCGCCCCCCTGGGGTCCTTCACGGCCCCCCAGGACCCCGCCAGCCCCTCCCCCCCGGCGGGCCCCCCCCCCGGCGGGCCCCCCCCCGGCGGGCCCCCCCCCGGCGGGCCCCCCCCCGGCGGGCCGCTCGCCGCCACGGCTCCCCCAGGAGGGCCGAGCTGGCGGTGAGCGACGCCGGAGATGGGCGGGGAGAGCCTCACGCTCACCACTCACACTCACCACTCACACTCACCACTCACCACTCACACTCACCACTCACGCTCACACTCACCACTCACACTCACACTCACCACTCACCCACACGCTCACCACTCACACTCACCACTCACACTCACCACTCACCCACACGCTCACCACTCACGCTCACCACTCACCACTCACGCTCACCACTCACACTCACCACTCACGCTCACCACTCACACTCACCACTCACCACTCACGCTCACCACTCACCACTCACCACTCACGCTCACCACTCACGCTCACCACTCACCAATCACCACTCACGCTCACCACTCACGCTCACCACTCACGCTCACCCACGCCGCTCACCCACGCCGCTCACCACACCCTAACCCACCCAACTCACCACACCCTAACCCACCCAACTCACCACACCCTAACCCACCCAACTCACCACACCCTAACCCACCCAACTCACCACACCCTAACCCACCCGCTCACCACACCCTAACCCACCCGCTCACCACACCCTAACCCACCCAACTCACCACACCCTAACCCACCCAACTCACCACACACTAACCCACCCAACTCACCACACCCTAACCCACCCGCTCACCACACCCTAACCCACCCGCTCACCACACACTAACCCACCCGCTCACCACACACTAACCCACCCACTCACCACACCCTAACCCAACCGCTCACCACACACTAACCCACCCGCTCACCACACACTAACCCACCCGCTCACCACACCCTAACCCACCCGCTCACCACACCCTAACCCACCCGCTCACCACGCCCTAACCCACCCGCTCACCACGCCCTAACCCACCCGCTCACCACACCCTAACCCACACGCTCACCACCCCCTAACCCACCCGCTCACCACACCCTAACCCACCCGCTCACCACACCCTAACCCACCCAACTCACCACACCCTAACCCACCCGCTCACCACACCCTAACCCACCCGCTCACCACACCCTAACCCACCCGCTCACCACACCCTAACCCACCCAACTCACCACACCCTAACCCACCCAACTCACCACACACTAACCCACCCAACTCACCACACCCTAACCCACCCGCTCACCACACCCTAACCCACCCGCTCACCACACACTAACCCACCCGCTCACCACACACTAACCCACCCACTCACCACACCCTAACCCACCCGCTCACCACACACTAACCCACCCGCTCACCACACACTAACCCACCCGCTCACCACACCCTAACCCACCCGCTCACCACACCCTAACCCACCCGCTCACCACGCCCTAACCCACCCGCTCACCACGCCCTAACCCACCCGCTCACCACACCCTAACCCACACGCTCACCACGCCCTAACCCACCCGCTCACCACACCCTAACCCACCCGCTCACCACACCCTAACCCACCCAACTCACCACACCCTAACCCACCCGCTCACCACACCCTAACCCACCCGCTCACCACACCCTAACCCACCCAACTCACCACACCCTAACCCACCCAACTCACCACACCCTAACCCACCCAACTCACCACACACTAACCCACCCAACTCACCACACCCTAACCCACCCGCTCACCACACCCTAACCCACCCGCTCACCACACACTAACCCACCCGCTCACCACACACTAACCCACCCACTCACCACACCCTAACCCACCCGCTCACCACACACTAACCCACCCGCTCACCACACACTAACCCACCCGCTCCCCACACCCTAACCCACCCGCTCACCACACCCTAACCCACCCGCTCACCACGCCCTAACCCACCCGCTCACCACCCCCTAACCCACCCGCTCACCACACCCTAACCCACACGCTCACCACGCCCTAACCCACCCGCTCACCACACCCTAACCCACCCGCTCACCACACCCTAACCCACCCGCTCACCACACCCTAACCCACCCGCTCACCACGCCCTAACCCACCCGCTCACCACGCCCTAACCCACACGCTCACCACGCCCTAACCCACACGCTCACCACGCCCTAACCCACCCGCTCACCACACCCTAACCCACCCGCTCACCACACCCTAACCCACCCGCTCACCACACCCTAACCCACACGCTCACCACACACTTACCCACCCGCTCACCACACCCTAACCCACCCGCTCACCACACCCTAACCCACCCGCTCACCACACCCTAACCCACCCGCTCACCACACACTAACCCACCCACTCACCACACACTAACCCACCCACTCACCACACCCTAACCCACCCGCTCACCACACCCTAACCCACCCGCTCACCCTCACGCCCGCGTGAATTCAAACTCACCACGGCCTAGCCCCCGACCCCCGTGGCTCCCCCTGGTGGTGATCATTCTCGTCAGCACTTGCCCCAGCAGGTCGCTTGTGCTACCTGGACCTCGGGGGAACCTTTAGCTTTAGCTTTAGCTGCTGCTGCTGCTGCTGTGTCCGCGTGCAGCCTGGGTCTGCCCGGCGGAGAGCGGAGATGGAGCCGACCACTCCTCCACCACCGCCGCCTCCTCCACCTCTTCCTCCACCAACTCCACCTCCACCTCTTCCTCCGCCAACCCCTCCTCGGCGATGATGTCGGGGGCGACGCTGGGCGGAGAGTCGCAACCGCAGCCGCTCGGCTCCTTCCTGTGCAGCGGGTACGGATCTCGCCCGCACGCTCACCACAGCGCGACCCATGCACTCACCCATACACTCACCCGCACGCTCACCCATACACTCACCCATGCACTCACCCATGCACTCACCCATACACTGACCCGCACGCTCACCCATGCACTCAGCCATACACTCACCCATGCACTCACCATGCACTCAGCTATACACGCACCCATCCACTCACCTATGCACTCACCCGCACGCTCACTCATACACTCACCCATGCACTCAGCCATACACTCACTCATACACTCACCCATACACTCACCCATGCACTCACCCATGCACTCACCACAGCGCGACCCATGCACTCACCCATACACTCACCCGCACACTCACCCATACACTCACCCATGCACTCAGCCATACACTCACCCATGCACTCAACCATACACTCACCCGCACGCTCACCCATGCACTCACCCATACACTGAGCCATACACTGAGCCATACACTCACCCATGCACTCACCACAGCGCGACCCATGCACTCACCCGCACGCTCACCTGCACGCTCACCCATACACTCACCCATGCACTCACCCATGCACTCAGCCATACACTCACCCATGCACTCACCCATGCACTCACCCATGCACTCACCCATACACTCACCCGCACGCTCACCCATCCACTCACCCATGCACTCAGCCATACACTCACCCATGCACTCAGCCATACACTCACCCATGCACTCACCTGCACGCTCACCCATGCACTCACCCATACAATTCACCCATGCACTCACCCATACACTCAGCCATACACTCACCCATCCACTCACCCATACACTCACCCATACACTCACCCATGCACTCACCCGCACGCTCACCCATGCACTCACCCATACACTCACCCATACACTCACCCATACACTGAGCCATACACTCACCCATACACTCAGCCATGCACTCACGACAGCGCGACCCATGCACTCACCCATACACTCAGCCATACACTCACCCGCACGCTCACCCGCACACTCACCCATACACTCACCCATACACTCACCCATACACTCACCCATACACTCACCCATGCACTCACCCGCACGCTCACCCATACACTCACCCATACACTCACCCATACACTCACCCGCACGCTCACCCATCCACTCACCCATACACTCACCCATACACTCAGCCATGCACTCACCCATACACTCACCCATACACTCACCCATACACTCACCCATACACTCACCCATGCACTCACCCGCACGCTCACCCATACACTCACCCATACACTCACCCATACACTCACCCGCACGCTCACCCATCCACTCACCCATACACTCACCCATACACTCAGCCATGCACTCACCCATACACTCACCCATACACTCAGCCATACACTCACGACAGCGCGACCCATGCACTCACCCATACAATTCACCCATGCACTCACCCATACACTCAGCCATACACTCACCCGCACGCTCACCCGCACACTCACCCATACACTCACCCATACACTCACCTGCACGCTCACCCATGCACTCACCCATGCACTCAGCCATACACTCACTCATACACTCAGCCATACACTCACCCATCCACTCAGCCATACACTCACCCATCCACTCACCCATGCACTCACCCATGCACTCAGCCATACACTCACTCATACACTCACCCATCCACTCACCCATGCACTCAGCCATCCACTCACCCATGCACTCAGCCATACACTCACCCATGCACTCACCTGCACGCGCACCCATGCACTCACCCATACACTCAGCCATACACTCACCCATACACTCACCCGCACACTCACCCATCCACTCACCCATGCACTCACCCATCCACTCACCTGCACGCTCACCCATACACTCACCCATACACTCACCCATGCACTCACCCATGCACTCAGCCATACACTCACTCATACACTCAGCCATACACTCACCCATACACTCACCCATCCACTCACCCATGCACTCACCCATGTACTCACCCGCACGCTCACCCATACACTCACCCATACACTCACCCATACACTCACCCATGCACTCAGCCATACACTCACCCATGCACTCACCTGCACGCGCACCCATGCACTCACCCATACACTCAGCCATGCACTCACCCATGCACTCAGCCATACACTCAGCCATACACTCACTCATGCACTCACCCATGCACTCACCCGCACGCTCACACATACACTCACCCATACACTCACCCATGCACTCAGCCATACACTCACCCATGCACTCACCCATGCACTCACCCATACACTCACCCATACACTCACCCATGCACTCACCCATCCACTCACCCGCACGCTCACCCATACACTCACCCATCCACTCACCCGCACGCTCACCCATACACTCACCCATGTACTCACCCATGCACTCACCCATACACTCACCCATACACTCACCCATGCACTCACCCATGCACTCACCCATACACTCACCCATGCACTCACCCATAAACTCACCCATGCACTCACCCATGCACTCACCCATGCACTCACCCATGCACTCACATTCTACATACTCATTCACTACTCAGCCCTATATAAACTCACCATAATCCGAAGATTGTTTGAGTGATTAGGCGAGAGTGACGAGGTGAGCGAGTGATGAGGTGATATAGTGACCAGGTGAGCGTGCGATGAGGTGAGCGAGCGACTAGGTGAGTGAGGAGGTGAGTGACGAGGTGAGCGAGTGATGAGGTGAGTGAGGAGATGAGCGAGTGAGGAGGTGAGTAACGAGGTGAGTGAGGTGAGTGAGGTGAGCGAGTGAGGAGGTTAGTGACGATGTGAGTGAGGAGGTGAGCGAGCGACGAGGTGAGCGTGTGATGAGGTGAGTGAGGTGAGTGAGTGAGGAGGTGAGTGAGGAGGTGATAGAGTGAGGAGGTGAGTGAGTGAGGAGGTGAGTGATGAGGTGAGTGAGTGAGGAGGTGAGTGAGTGAGAAGGTGAGTGAGGAGGTGAGTGACGAGGTGAGCGAGTGAGGAGGTGAGTGACGAGGTGAGTGAGGAGGTGAGCGAGCAACGAGGTGAGTGATTGACGAGGTGAGCGTGTGACGAGGTGAACGAGCGACTAGGTGAGTGAGGAGGTGACGAGGTGAGGGTGTGACGAGGTGAGCGTGTGACATCCCCAGCTGCGGCCGAGTGGGAGCGTCATCGACGGTGCCGGCCGGGCCTCTCGCCGGAGTCAGCCACACCCCTCGCTCCGGTGAGCAGCACCTCCTCACAGAGATCACCACACCACACAGAGCTCACCACACCACACAGAGCTCACCTCACAGAGCTCACCACACCACACAGAGCTCACCACACAGAACTCACCACACCTCACAGAACTCACCACAACACACAGAGCTCACCACACCACACAGAGCTCACCACACAGAGCTCACCACACTACACAGAACTCACCACACAGAACTCACCACACCTCACAGAGCTCACCACACAGAGCTCACCACACCACAGAGAGCTCACCACACAGAGCTCACCACACCACACAGAGCTCACCACACCACACAGAGCTCACTACACCACACAGAGCTCACCACACAGAGCTCACCACACCACACAGAGCTCACCACACCACACAGAACTCACCAGACCACACAAAGCTCGCCACACCTCAAAGAGTTCACCACACCACACAGAACTCACCACACCACACAGAACTCTCCACCCCACACAGAGCTCACCACACAGAGCTCACCATACCTCACAGAGCTCACCACACCACACAGAGCTCACCACACCACACAAAGCTCACAACACCACATAGACCTCACCACACCATACAGAGCTCACCACACAGAGCTCACCACACCACACCACACAGAGCTCACCACACCACACAGAGCTCACTACATCTCACAAAGCTTACCACACAGAGCTCACCACACCACACAGAGCTCGCCACACCACACAGAGCTCACCACACAGAGCTCACCACACCACACAGAGCTCACCACACCACACCACACAGAGCTCACCACACAGACACAGAGCTCACCACACAGAACTCATCACACCTCACAGAGCTCACCATACCACACAGAGCTCACCACACAGAGCTCACCACACCACACAGACCTGACCACACAGAGCTCACCCCACCTCACAGAGCTCATCACACCTCACAGAACTCACCACACCTCACAGAACTCACCACACCACACAGAGCTCACCACACCACACAGAGCTCACCACACTACACAGAGCTCACCACACAGAGCTCACCACACCACACAGAGCTCACCACACCACACAGACCACACCACACAGAGCTCACCACACCACACAGAGCTCACCACACCACACAGAGCTCACCACACCACACAGACCACACCACACAGAGCTCACCACACCTTATAGACCTCACCACACAGACCTCACCACACCACACAGAGCTCACCACACCACACAGAGCTCAGCACACCACACAGACCACACCACACAGAGCTCACCACACCACACAGAGCTCACCACACAGACCACACCACACAGAGCTCACCACACCTTACAGACCTCACCACACAGACTTCACCACACCACACAGAGCTCACCACACAGAGCTCACCACACAGACCACACCACACAGAGCTCACCACACCACAGACCTCACCACACCACAGACCTCACCACACAGACCACACCACACAGAGCTCACCACACCACAGACCTCACCACACCACAGACCTCACCATACAGAGCTCACCACACAGACCACACCACACAGAGCTCACCACACCACAGAGCTCACCACACCACAGAGCTCACCACACCACACAGAGCTCACCACACCACACAGACCTCACCACACCACAGAGCTCATCACACCACACAGAACTCACCACACCACACAGAGCTCACCACACAGAGCTCACCACACCACACAGAGCTCACCACACCACACAGAGCTCACCACACAGAGCTCACCACACAGAGCTCACCACACAGACCACACCACACAGAGCTCACCACACCACACAGAGCTCAACCACACCACACAGAGCTCCCCACACCACACAGAGCTCAACCACACCACACAGAGCTCACCACACCACACAGAGCTCACCACACAGAGCTCACCACACCACACAGATACCACCACACCACACAGATCTCACCACACCACACAGAGCTCACCACACAGAGCTCACCACACTACACAGAACTCACCACACAGAACTTACCACACCTCACAGAGCTCACCACACAGAGCTCACCACACCACAGAGAGCTCACCACACAGAGCTCACCACACCACACAGAGCTCACTACACCACACAGAGCTCACCACACAGAGCTCACCACACAGAGCTCACCACACCACACAGAACTCACCAGACCACACAGAGCTCACCACACCTCAAAGAGCTCACCACACCACACAGAACTCACCACACCACACAGAACTCTCCACCCCACACAGAGCTAACCACACAGAGCTCACCATACCTCACAGAGCTCACCACACCACACAGAGCTCACCACACCACACAAAGCTCACAACACCACATAGACCTCACCACACCATACAGATCTCACCACACAGAGCTCACCACACCACACAGAGCTCACCACACCACACAGAGCTCACTACATCTCACAAAGCTTACCACACAGAGCTCACCACACCACACAGAGCTCACCACACCACACAGAGCTCACCACACAGAGCTCACTACACCACACAGAGCTCACCACACCACACCACACAGAGCTCACCACACAGACACAGAGCTCACCACACCACACAGAACTCATCACACCTCACAGAGCTCACCATACCACACAGAGCTCACCACACAGAGCTCACCACACCACACAGACCTGACCACACAGAGCTCACCCCACCTCACAGAGCTCATCACACCTCACAGAACTCACCACACCTCACAGAACTCACCACACCACACAGAGCTCACCACACCACACAGAGCTCACCACACTACACAGAGCTCACCACACAGAGCTCACCACACCACACAGAGCTCACCACACCACACAGACCACACCACACAGAGCTCACCACACCACACAGAGCTCACCACACCACACAGAGCTCACCACACCACACAGACCACACCACACAGAGCTCACCACACCTTATAGACCTCACCACATAGAGCTCACCACACCACACAGAGCTCACCACACCACACAGAGCTCACCACGCCACACAGACCACATCACACAGAGCTCACCACACCACACAGAGCTCACCACACAGACCACACCACACAGAGCTCACCACACCTTACAGACCTCACCACACAGACCTCACCACACCACACAGAGCTCACCACACAGAGCTCACCACACAGACCACACCACACAGAGCTCACCACACCACAGACCTCACCACACCACAGACCTCACCACACAGAGCTCACCACACAGACCACACCACACAGAGCTCACCACACCACAGAGCTCACCACACCACAGAGCTCACCACACAGAGCTCACCACACCACACAGACCTCACCACACCACAGAGCTCACCACACCACACAGAGCTCACCACACCACACAGAACTCACCACACCACACAGAACTCACCACACCACACAGAGCTCACCACACCACACAGAGCTCACCACACCACACAAATCTCACCACACCACACAGAGCTCACCACACAGAGCTCACCACACCACACAGAGCTCACCACACAGACCACACCACACAGAGCTCACCACACCACACAGAGCTCACCACACCACACAGAGCTCAACCACACCACACAGAGCTCAACCACACCACACAGAGCTCACCACACCACACAGAGCTCACCACACAGAGCTCACCACACCACACAGATACCACCACACCACACAGATCTCACCACACCACACAGAGCTCACCACACCACACAGACCACACCACACAGAGCTCACCACACCACACAGAGCTCACCACACCACACAGAACTCACCACACCACACAGTGCTCACCACACTACACAGAGCTCACCACACCACACCACACAGAGCTCACCACACTACACAGAGCTCACCACACAGAGCTCACCACACCACAGAGCTCACCACACAGCGCTCACCACACCACACAGAGCTCACCACACCACAGATCTGATCACACCACAGAGCTCACCACACCACAGAGCTCACCACACCACACAGATCTCACCACACCACACAGACCTCACCACACCACAGAGCTCACCACACCACACAGAGCTCACCACACCACACAGAGCTCACCACACTACACAGATCTCACCACACCACAGAGCTCACCACACCACACAGAGCTCACCACACCACAGAGCTCACCACACCACACAGACCTCACCACACCACACAGAGCTCACCACACAGAGCTCACCACACCACACAGAGCTCACCACACAGAGCTCACCACACCACACAGATACCACCACACCACACAGATCTCACCACACCACACAGAGCTCACCACACCACACAGACCACACCACACAGAGCTCACCACACCACACAGAGCTCACCACACAGAACTCACCACACCACACAGTGCTCACCACACTACACAGAGCTCACCACACCACACCACACAGAGCTCACCACACTACACAGAGCTCACCACACAGAGCTCACCACACCACAGAGCTCACCACACAGCGCTCACCACACCACACAGAGCTCACCACACCACAGATCTGACCACACCACAGAGCTCACCACACCACAGAGCTCACCACACTACCTCCTACGCCGCCAGACGACGTCACGGCCCTCACCTCGGACTACGACAGCTCCGTGGAGAACAACCACGTGGGTGAGGGGGAGGGGCGCGGGGGTGGGGGGGGCGACGGCAGCCGCCCCCTCCCCTCCAAACTGCTGCTGCCCCTCGCTGAGGCCCAGGTACCCCCCACCCCACCCCCCTCCCAACCCCCCTCCCCACCCCTCCCCCACCCCTCCCCTCTCTCCCACCCCTCCCCCCTCCCCCACCCCTCCCTCCACCCCTCCCCCCTCTCCCCTCTAAAACCCCACCCCTCCCCCCACCCCTCCCCCCACCCCCCTCCCCTCTCGAACCCCTCCCCCTACCTCGCACCCCACCTGGAACCTGGAACCTGTGACACCGGGACCCAGTACCCTGGAAACCGGCACCCAGTGCCCCGGAGCCTGGAACCTGGAACCCAGTAGCCCTGGACCCCACTTTCTGGAACCTAAAACCCGGAACCTTTAATACAGAATACAGATCCCGGAACCTGTAACCCAGAACCTAGAACCCGGAACCTGTAACCCAGAACCCAGATCCCGGAACCTGTAACCCAGAACCCGGAACCTGTAACCCAGAACCCAGATCCCGGAACCTGTAACCCAGAACCTAGAACCCGGAACCTGTAACCCAGAACCTAGAACCCGGAACCTGTAACCCAGAACCCAGATCCCGGAACCTGTAACCCAGAACCCAGATCCCGGAACCTGTAACCCAGAACCCAGATCCCGGAACCTGTAACCCAGAACCCAGATCCCGGAACCTGTAACCCAGAACCCAGAACCTGTAACCCAGAACCCGGAACCTGTAACCCAGAACCTAGAACCCGGAACCTGTAACCCAGAACCCAGATCCCGGAACCTGTAACCCAGAACCCAGATCCCGGAATCTGTAACCCAGAACCTAGAACCCAGAACCTGTAACCCAGAACCCAGATCCCGGAACCTGTAACCCAGAACCCAGAACCTGTAACCCAGAACCCAGATCCCGGAACCTGTAACCCAGAACCTAGAAACTGGAACCTGTAACCCAGAACCCAGAACCCGGAACCTGTAACCCAGAACCCTTAACCTGTAACCCAGAACCCAGAACTCGGAACCTGTAACCCACAACCTAGATCCCGGAACCTGTAACCCAGAACTAGAACCCGGAACCTGTAATCCAGAATACAGAACCCGGAACCTGTAACCCAGAACCTAGAACCCGGAACCTGTAACCCAGAACCTAGAACCCGGAACCTGTAACCCAGAACCCAGATCCCGGAACCTGTAACCCAGAATCCAGAACCTGTAACCCAGAACCTAGAAACTGGAAACTGTAACCCAGAACTCGGAACCTGTAACCCAGAACGCGGAACCTGCAATCCAGAACCCAGAACTCGGAACCTGTAACCCAGAACCCAGAACCTGTAACCCAGAACCAGGAAACTGTAACCCAGAAACAAGATCCCGGAACCTGTAACCCAGAACCCAGATCCCGGAACCTGTAACCCAGAACCCAGAACCTGTAACCCAGATCCCGGAACCTGTAACCCAGAACCCAGATCCCGGAACCTGTAACCCAGAACCCAGAACCTGTAACCCAGAATACAGAACCCGGAACCTGTAACCCAGAACCTAGAACCCGGAACCTGTAACCCAGAACCTAGAACCCGGAACCTGTAACTCAGAACCTAGAACCCGGAACCTGTAACCCAGAACCTAGAACCCGGAACCTGTAACCCAGAACCTAGAACCCGGAACCTGTAACCCAGAACCTAGAACCCGGAACCTGTAACCCAGAACCTAGAACCCGGAACCTGTAACCCAGAACCCGGAACCCAGAACCTGTAACCCAGAACCCGGAACCTGTAACCCAGAACCCAGATCCCATAATCTGTAACCTAGAATCCAGAACCTGTAACTGAGAACCCAGAACCTGGAACCTATAACCCAGAACCTAGATCCCAGAACCCAGAACCTGGAACCTGTAACTCAAGATTCCAAAACCTGGAACCTGTAACCCAGAACCCGGAACTCAGAACCTGTGGTGGTTACCGTGGTGGTGATGGTGGTGGTGGTGACGATGGTGGTGATGGTGGTGGTGATGGTGGTGGTGACGGTGGTGGTGATGGTGGTGGTGACGATGGTGGTGGTGACGATGGTGGTGGTGGTGACGGTGGTGGTGATGGTGGTGGTGGTGACGATGGTGGTGGTGGTGACGGTGGTGGTGGTGGTGATGGTGGTGATGGTGGTGGTGATGGTGGTGACAGTGGTGGTGACAGTGGTGGTGACGGTGGTGGTGGTGATGGTGGTGACGGTAGTGGTGACGGTGGTGGTGGTGACGGTGGTGGTGGTGGTGATAGTGGTGGTGACGGTAGTGGTGACAGTGGTGACGGTGGTGGTGGTAGTGATATTGGTGGTGACAGTAGTGGTGACGGTGGTGACGGTGGTGGTGGTGGTGATGGTGGTGGTGATAGTGGTGATGGTGACGGTGATGGTGACGGTGATGGTGGTGATGGTGGTGGTGGTGACGGTGGTGGTGGTGATGGTGGTGGTAATAGTGGTGATGATGATGGTGTCGGTGACGGTGGTGGTGGTAGTGGTGATGGTGGTGACGATGGTGGTGGTGACGGTGCTGGTGGTGATAGTGGTGGTGATAGTGGTGATGGTGATGGTGACGGTGGTGGTGGTGGTGGTGGTGATGGTGATGGTGGTGACGGTAGTGGTGACGGTGGTGGTGGTGACGGTGGTGATAGTGGTGACGATGGTGGTGGTGACGGTGGTGGTGATGGTGGTGATAGTGGTGGTGATGGTGACGGTGATGGTGGTGATGGTGGTGACGATGGTGGTGGTGACGGTGGTGGTGGTGGTAGTGATAGTGGTGGTGATGGTGGTGATGGTGGTGGTGATAGTGGTGGTGGTGGTCCGGCAAAACAACCCCCTACCTCCTCGCGGTGCCGGACGGGCAACTCTGTCGTGGACAGTGCTGTGGGGGGAGTTCCAATTTTGATTGGCTCCTCCCCTCATGGCATATGTGTCCACCACAGGGGCTAAACGGGGGCTCTGGACGGGTGCGAGGGGCTGGTAACCCCTCCACCTTCAATTAATTACCACAAAACCACGAATTAAAGTGAAATATGTAACAACTAAGCTTGTGCCGGAGGCCCCGGGGGGCCAGGCGTCTATGACGTCTCCTGGCCAAACCCCAATTGGCGGAGCCAGGAGATTGAATACCTACCCTCGGGGCTACTCCAGAAACAACGAAAAGCCACTACGGGTGGCCACGTGGAATGTTCGAACGCTCACTGCAGAGGAGAGGCTACCACTCCTCTGTCGGGAGCTGGACCGGTACCGCCTGGATCTATGCGGCATTCAGGAGGTCCGGTGGACCGGCTCTGGCTCCTGCCACCATGAGGGGTGGACAGTCCTCTACTCGGGGCAGCAGACTGCCAAACAACAGGGTGTGGGTCTTCTTTTGAATAAAAGAATGAAGGGGGCGTGGGAGCGTGGCGGTGAGGTGTGGGAAGCTGTAAGCCCCAGGCTACTTTGGGCTCGCCTTCCCATCAACCGGAGGCGAGGAATGGTGGTCGTGGTTACTTATGCCCCCACCGAAGATGAACATCCGTGGAGGGATGCAGGCAAAGCCGATGAGTCAGATGCCTTCTATGACCTCCTGTCACAGGTGCTGGCTAAAGTGGCCCCTCGGGATAGAGTCATCATGTTGGGTGACTTCAATGCCCGAGTTGGTCATGATACTGGCACCTGGTCTGGAGTGATTGGAGGGCATGGGCCAGATCAGCTCAATAACAACGGTAGGAGGCTGCTAGATTTTTGTGCAGCCCATGGGCTTGTAATTACCAACACGCTGTTCCGGCATCGGCGCATCCACACAACATCATGGATGCATGCCGGGTCCAAGCAAGAACATCTGCTGGACTACATAGTGACGGACCAGCGAATGCGAGCCCATGTCCTTGACACCAGGACCTACCGTGGAGCTGATCTGCCCTCTGACCATCGACTAGTCATCTGTAAGATGCGCCTGCCATTCTTCCACTCCGGTGGTGGGTGTACACCCAGGACCCCATTCCAACCTAAAGTGGCCTGGTCTCAGTTATCTGATGAAAGTTGCAAGCGAGAATTTCATCATCGCTTGCGGCTGGGATTGGCATCGTCCCCGACTCCTCCTGATGTCGAGGGTAAATGGGCGAGGTTTAGGACTGTGACTCATGCAGCTGCATTGGCTGCTTTGGGTACGCGGTCCAGACCTCCCCAGACACCCTGGATGACAGAGGAGTTGTTCAGGATGGTTGAGAAAAAGCGACAGGCCCACTGTCATCGGCTACAGAATCCCACGTCAGAGAATGAGGAGGCTTACCGCAGCCTTCGCTCGGAGGTTCGGAGAGCCGTGAGGCGCTGCAAGGATGGGTGGTGGTCGCGAGTTGCTGAGGAGATGGAGTCTGCCTCAGTGGCCCGTGATCACAAATCGCTATTTAACTCCATCAAAAGAGTAACCTGCAGCGCCACACCTATTACCATCATTAGGGGAAAAAACGGTGATCCAATTTCCGACCCCCAGGAACAGGTTCGCAGATTTGCTGAGCATTTCTGTGAGGTCCTGGGGGAGGGAAAATCCCACAGCCAGGAAAACATCGTGGCACAGGGTGAGGATGACCCTGCTGAGGCTGCGGTGCCTCAAATATTGGATGAAGTCACCCCCTGTGAGTGGCTGGCTGAGGTGCCATCTGCTGAGGAAGTATTGAAGGCGATCCGGAGTCTGAGACCAGGAAAGGCAGCGGGCAGAGATGATCTCCCAAGCGAAATGCTGAGGGAGGGTGGCGTTTGTGCACAGACTGCCCTATATGACATCATAACAACAGTCTGGACCACTGGACGGGTTCCGCAGGATTGGAAGGATGCCCTGGTGGTCCCCCTTTTTAAGAAGGGGGACCGCACAGACTGTAACAACTACAGGGGCATCTCACTCCTCAGTGTGCCGGGAAAGGTCCTGGCAAGGATTATTCAGCATCGCCTTGCCAGGCACGCTGAGGAGAGGCTTGCGGAGCCCCAATGCGGTTTCAGGAAAGGGCGGTCCTGCACAGATGCCATATTTTCTGTCCGTCTGCTACAGCAGAGGTGTAGGGAATTCCAACAAGACTTACATCTCTGCTTTATTGACCTGGTCAAGGCCTATGATACCATCAGTAGGCCTGGGCTCTGGGTCGTTCTTCGTGCTTTTGGAGTACCTGACCCTCTGCTCACGATCATTAAGGACCTTCATGATGGTGAGCGGGCCCGGGTAAAACTACGTGGCCGGGAGTCAGAGCCATTCCCTGTACACCTTGGGGTGCGACAGGGATGTCCTCTGGCTCCCACATTATTTAACATCTATTTTGACCACGTAGTTCGTGAAGCCTTCAATAGCTGTACCGGGGGAATCTCCATATGGTACAGATATAATGGGAGGCTAATCGATGCCCGGGTGCGGTCAAGGGATGGCTCCCTATTGCTCAACCACGTTATGTATGCTGATGACTTGGTAATAGCTGCTCAGTCAGAGGAGGAGTTGGAGACGCTGCTGCTGAGACTGGAGCGTGCCACTAAGAGGTGGGGCCTTACCATCAGCCCCACCAAAACTAAGCACCTGCCTGGGTATTTTGTACCATCGGACACTCCACCCCCACAACTCCCAATCGGTGATGGGGCAGTTGTGGAGAGAGTGGAGAGTTTCCCATACCTGGGCAGTGTGCTTATGACTGGCTCCAGTTTAACAGCAGAGGTCTCACTCCGAATCAGTCGAGCGGCAATATCTTTTCATCGGTTGCGTAACGCTGTGTGGAAGCTACCTGGTCTGTCGCTCCGCACTAAGCTTCAGGTCTTCTCGGCCACGGTCATTCCCTCCCTTCTCTACGCTTGCGAAACGTGGACCCCCCTAATGGAACATCTTCGCCGGTTAGAAACATTTAGGCTGACCTGCCTACGATCCATCCTGGGTTTAACCAGACTGGATTGTGTGAGGAGCTCACAAATCCTTGAAAGATCTGGGCAGGGTCCCATCGGTGAGCTCCTCCGGCAGGCAAGGCTGCGATGGCTGGGTCATGTAGCCCGCATGCCCAGCCACCGCATGCCGAAACAGCTTTTGTTTGGCCGGATTGAGGGGGCTAAGCGGGCGCGGCACGGGCTAGAGAAGAGATGGAGTGATGTGGTACAGGAGGACGTGGAGCTGAGTGGACTTGCCGATGACTGGTACCAGCGGTGTCAAGATCGGCCTCTGTGGAGGAGGCTCGTGAAGGATGCTACTGGGCAGTTGGAGGCAGTCGCCCTCCAACAACAACGGAGGGCGGAGGAGCGACGCTCACAACAGCGAGCGGAGCGCCGGGTGGCTAAAGCACAGCAGGTTGGCACAGTAGGGGGCACAGGTGGTGCATCAGCCAGTCATCTCAGTCAGTCGACCCGTGGCACCTGGGTCTGCCCCGTGACCTCCTGCCAGCGGGCGTTCGACACTTCACGTGGCCTCAGGGTGCACATAGCCTGGCACAAGCGTCGTGGTGACGTCACCGCCACTTAGTGGCGAATGGCGGTTGTTGTTGTTGTGGTGGTGATGGTGACGGTGACGGTGGTGGTGATGGTGGTGGTGGTGGTGGTGATGGTGGTGGCGGTAGTGGTGACGATGGTGGTGGTGATTGTGGTGGTGATGACGATGGTGGTGGTGACGGTGGTGGTGGTGATAGTGGTAGTGATAGTGGTGGTGATGGTGGTGGTGGTGGTAGTGATAGTGGTAGTGGTGGTGATGGTGGTGGTGATGGTGGTGGTGGTGATCGTGGTGATGGTGATGGTGACGGTGATGGTGGTGGTGACGGTGGTGGTGACGGTGGTGGTGACGGTGGTGGTGACAATGGTGGTGGTGGTGATGGTGGTGACGGTGATGGTGGTGATGGTGGTGGTAATGGCGGCGCCAGGAGGAGGCGGGGTTGCCCTGCTCGCCCACCCTGGTGATGGAGGGTCTGGAGCCCCTCATGTCCGGAATCCACAACTGGAACTTCCCCATCTTCGATCTTGTGGAGCTCACCGGGGGTGCCTGCGGTCAAATCCTCAGCCAGGTCAGCCCGCGACGGGTGTGTGTCTGTGTGTGTGTGTACAGTACGTGTGTGTGTGTACGTGTGTGTACGTGTGTGTGTGTACGTGTGTGTGTAAGTACGTGTGTGTGTACGTCTATGATGTCTCCTGGCCAAACCCCATTTGGCGGAGCCAGGAGACTGAATCTATACCCTCGGGGTTCCTCCAGAAACAACAAAAAGCCACTACGGATGGCCACGTGGAATGTTCGAATGCTCACTGCGGAGGAGAGGCTGCCACTCCTCTGTCGGGAGCTGGACCGGTACCACCTGGATCTTTGTAGTATTCAGGAGGTCCGGTGGACCGGCTCTAGCTCCTGCCACCATGAGGGATGGACAGTCCTCTACTCGGGGCAGGAGACTGCGAAAAAACAGGGAGTGGCTCTTCTTCTGAACAAAAGATTGAAGGGGGTGTGGGAGCGTGGCGGTGAGGTGTGGGAAGCTATAAGCCCCAGGCTACTTTGGGCTCGCCTTCCCATCAACCGATGTTATTGGAAGGCATGGGCCAGTTCAGCTCAATAACAATGGTAGGAGGCTGCTACATTTTTGTGCAGCCCATGTGCTTGTAATTAACGAGCTGTTCCGGCATCGGCGCATCCACACAACATCATGGATGCATGCCCGGTCCAAGCAAGAACATCTGCTAGACAACATAGTGACAGAACAGAGGATGGGGGCCCATGTCCTTGACACCAGGACCTACCGTGGCACTGATCTGCCCACTGACCATCGACTTGTCATCTGTAAGATGCACCTGCCATTCTTCCACTCTAGTGGTGGGTGTACACCCAGGACCCCATGTAAACCCATAGTGGCATGGTCTCAGCTAGCTGATGAAAGATGCAAGCGAGAATTTCATCATCACTTGTGGCTGAGGTTGGCATCGTCCCCCACTCCTCCTGATGTTGAGGGGAAATGGACGAGGTTTAGGACTGTGGCTCATGCAGCTGCAATGGCTGCTTTGAGATGATCTCCCAAGCAAAATGCCGAGGAAGGGTGGCGTTTGTGCACAGACTGTCCTATATGACATGATAACAACCGTCTGGACCACTGGACGAGTTCTGCAGGATTGGAAGGATGCCCTGGTGGTCCCCCTCTTTAAGAAAGGGGACCACACAGACTAACAACTACAGGGGCATCTCACTCCTCAGTGTGCCGGGAAAGGTCCTGGCAAGGATTATTCAACATCGCCTTGTCAGGCTTGCGGAGCCCCAATGTGGTTTCAGGAAAGGGCGGTCCTGCACAGATGCCATATTTTCTGTCCGTCTGCTACAGTAGGGATGGCTCCCTATTGCTCAACCATTTTATGAATGCAGATGATCTGGTAGTTGCTGATCACTCAGAGGAGGAGTTGGAGGCACTGCTGCTGAACCTGGAGCTTGCCACTAAGAGGTGGGACTTACCATCAGCCCGACCAAAACTAAGCACCTGCCTGGGTATTTTGTACCATCGGACACTCCACCCCCACAACTCTCAATTGGTGATAGGGCAATTGTGGAGAGAGTGGAAAGTTTCCCATACCTGGTCAGTGTGCTCATGACCGGCTCCAGTTTGACAGCAGAGGTCACTCCGAATCAGTCGAGCGGCAATATCTTTTCAACGGTTGCGTAACGCTGTGTGGAAGCTACCTGGTCTGTCGCTCCGCACGAAGCTTCAGGTCTTCTCGGCCACAGTTATTCCCTCCCATCTCTATGCTGGCGAAACGTGTACCCCCCTAATGGAACATCTTCGCCGGTTAGAAACATTTAGGCTGGCCTGCCTACGATCCATCCTGGGTTCAACCAGGCTGCATTGTGTGAGGAGCTCATATATCCTTGAAAGATCTGGACAAAGTCCCATCGTTGAGTTCCTCCAGCAGGCAAGGTTGCATTGGCTGCGTCATGTAGCCCACATGCCCAGCCACCACATGACTAATCAGCTTTTGTTCAGACGGATTGAGGGGGCTAAATGGACGTGGCATGGGCTACAGAAGAGATGGAGTGATGTGGTACAGGAGGATGTGGAGCTCAGTGGATTTGCCAATGACTGGTACCAGCAGTGTCAAGATCGGCCTCTGTGGAGGAGGCTCGTGAAGGACGCTACTGGGCACTTGGAGGCAGTCGCCCTCCAACAACAACGGAGGGCGGTGGAGCGACGCTCACAACAACGAGCGGAGCGCCGGGTGGCTAAAGCACAGCAGGTTGGCACAGTAGGGGGCACAGGTGGTGCATCAGCCAGTCATCTCAGTCAGTCGACCCGTGGCACCTGGGTCTGCCCCGTGACCTCCTGCCAGTGGGCGTTTGACACTCCACGTGGCCTCAATGTGCACATGGCCTGTCACAAGCGTCGTGGTGACGTCACCACCACTTAGTGGCGAATGGCGGTTGTTGTTGTTGTACCGGAGCGGTAGTGTAGTAGCGGTCAGCGCTCTGCACTACGAAACCTGGCGACCCAAGTTCAATTCCAGCTCACGGCCAACACCAGTGACGATTATCTGAACCGGTACCTGGGCCTCGCCTTGGTCACCTCAATTAAGTACCTGGTGCGGTGTGTAAACATCGCCACTGGGGAGACAAAGGCGGCCGGTCGTGTTGTTGGCCACCCACCAGCTCATATCGCGTGCCGGCCTTCATAGGTGCTCGCTAACAGCACTTGCCCCAGCAGTCTCTTCAGTCTATACGGGGGATCTTTGTCTTTGTGCGTGTGTGTGTGTGGGCAGCGGTGGTGTAGTGGTTAGTGCCCTGTGCTACGAACCCGGTGACCTGAGGTCGATTCCCGCTCACGGCCATTAACACCAGCGACGATTATCTGAACTGGTCCTGGGCCTCCCTCCCCTAGGTCGACTCAGCCTTAATTGAGTACCTTGTGCGATGTTGTAGTAAACATCTGCCGCCGCGGGGGGGGAGGGGGGGTAAGGTGTGGTGCTGGCAATACGGCCACCCCGTCGCGTGCCGTGCCGGCCTTCATAGGTGCTGCTCGCTAACAGCCCTTGCCCCAACGGTCCATGAAAGGCTTTGTGGGAGGTCTTTATCCACGGGGCAGCTTGAAACTGCCTGGGCATCACGCAAGTCGCCCGCAGCGCCCGACACCTCATTAATCATGAGCAAACACAAGATCCAGGTTCGATTTAACACAGAACATAAAATTCGTGAGCTGATCCCATCTGTGAAGGATGTGATCGCTGACATGCAATACCCCGGCGTCTACAAACTAAGCTGTGTCTGCGGCAGTAGTCACATTGGGGAAACTAAGCGACATGTCTCGGACCGGGTTCGTGAACGAACATCAGGCAGATCTGAAACACGGTAGGACTCATACCTCGGCCGTGGCTGATAATTGTTTTAATGCGGTGGGATCACACGAAATGTATTTCTCTTAGACGAAGGGACTTTGCAAACCCACTGGCTATCAACGTAAATTTGTTCACGAAGCCATCCATACATACAGACATACACACTATTTCAACCGAGAAGATGGGTACAAACTCAGCAATCACTGGAAGGACGTTATCAACCATTTTAAGTCATAACTGACTGTGATGTTTCCACTTTAGACCTGACAGCCCTTTATTGGTGGAAGCCAACCACCGGAACCATTACTGCCCACTTCCTTTATTGGTGGAAGCCAAACCACCTGCACCATCACGACCCACGACTACCATCACCTCTAGCAGCAACTTCCCTTACATTAACATAAGCTGCCCCGCCCATGCTGCTGACACTTGGGCTACGCCCATTTTTAAACCTTTATCAACAGTTTGCCTTTAGAGGCTAACCCCCTTTTTGCTGATGAGGACCACTTTTGTTGCGATCGAAACGTCGTGGTTTTGTTTGTTATTTTCTTTGAACCGATCCACGTAACTTTACCGAAAGACCCAAAGAATACCTCATTACTCATTGGTTTTTTCGGTAAAGTCACGTATGCAGATATAATAAAATTATATTAAAACAAAACAATCACGACGTTTCGATCACAACACAAGCGATCTTCATCAGGTGTCAAGAACAAATCACGGAGGTAAATACAACAAAAAAGATGAGAGGCGAGAATTTAACAAACCTAAAAAACATTACGTGAAGCACAACCAGTCAGGCCAACAACACAGCTAGACACTTCCTGGCGGACCACGAATTTCAGAAGAGTGTTAAATTTCGTGTTTTGTTTTAATATAATTTTATTATTTCTACATACGTGACTTTACTGAAAAACCCAATGGGTAATTTATATGCACGAAAGCTTTAATACTTTATTAATACCTCATTAACCCTTCCTTAAGGGGAAAGAACGGTGATCTGACCTCTGACTCGCCACGGTGGCTATGATGTTTACTATCTCGCCTGGTGTACAGCAGGTCGTGGGTTCGATCCCAACCCTTGACGCCTGCGCTATATTTGGAGGTTGCGGTGTCTCTCTCCCCGTGGTCGCGTGGATTTTTCTCCGGGTTTTCATATTTTTCCTGTTCCATCCACATTTAGAATCAACATCACCACGCGTTTAGAAGTATTTGGATATTTCATGTGACGCCCTTTGCCAGTACCAAAATATGACGATAGGTTTTTCCCCTTTTATCTGGCAACAAAACAGTTGTGTTAAGATGTTAAAACACCAAACTGAAACCTGCCGTTCCTCCTGAGGAAGTTTGCCACAACCAGTGAGCGGCTGGTCAGCCAACCAGCCAGCCATCCAGCAAGCAAACCTGGGTGGCTGGGCTGGGCTGGGCTGGCTGGCTGGCTGGCTGAGCTGGCTGGGCTGGCTGAGCTGGCTGCGCTGGGCTGGCTGGGCTGGCTGGGCTGGCTGAGCTGGCTGGCTGAGCTGGCGGTGCTGGCTGGGCTGGTCTGGCTGGGCTGGCTGGGCTGGCCTGGCTGGGCTGGCTGGGCTGGCTGGGCTGGGCTGGCTGGGCTGGCTAGGCTGGCTGGGCTGGCTGAGCTGGCTGGGCTGGCTGGCCGGGCTGGGCTGGGCTGGCTGGGCTGGCTGGGCTGGCTGGGCTGGCTGGGCTGCCTGGCTGGGCTGGGCTGGCTGAGCTGGGCTGGCTGGGCTGGCTGGGCTGGGCTGGGCTGGCTGGGCTGGGCTGGCTGGGCTGGCTGGGCTGGGTTGGCTGGGCTGGGCTGGCTGGGCTGGGTTGGCTGGGCTGGCTGGGCTGGCTGGGCTGGGCTGGTTGGGCTGGGCTGGCTGAGCTGCCTGGGCTGGCTGGACTGGCTGGCCGGCCGGGCTGGGCTGGGCTGGGCTGGGCTGGCTGGGCTGGGCTGGGCTGGGCTGGCTGGGCTGGGCTGGGCTGGCTGGCTGGCTGGGCTGGGCTGGCTTGGCTGGGCTGGGCTGGCTGGGCTGGGCTGACTGGGCTGGGCCGGCTGTGCTGGGCTGGGCTGGCTGGGCTGGGCTGGCTGGGCTGGGCTGGCAGGACTGGGCTGGGCTGGCTGGGCTGGCTGGGCTGGGCTGGGCTGGGCTGGGCTGGGCTGGCTGGGCTGGGCTGGGCTGGCTGGCTGGCTGGGCTGGGCTGGCTGGGCTGGGCTGGGCTGGCTGGGCTGGGCTGACTGGGCTGGGCCGGATGTGCTGGGCTGGGCTGGCTGGGCTGGGATGGCTGGGCTGGGCTGGCAGGACTGGGCTGGGCTGGCTGGGCTGGCTGGGCTGGCTGACGGTGCCAGCCATTGTTTTCAGCGAAGAGCGATCTTCCAGGGGAACCTGAGACCAGGTCGCAGTTCCCTCCGGGACAGAGACGACCTCTGGAACCACCACCAGTTGGACCACTGGACGGGTTGAGCCGCTGGTTTGGATGTCCGGCTCAACCCCTACCCCAACCCCCCAAAGGGGGGGCTAAGCGAATGCCCCCCTCCCCCCGTGTGGTGGTGGTGGTGTTGCAGGTGACGTACCGCCTGTTTGAGGACACGGGCCTCTTCGCGCTCTTCAAGATCCCCGTGGCGGAGTTCATGCGCTACTTCCACGCGCTGGAGAGCGGATACCGCCACATCCCCTGTGAGGAGCCGCCTCCCTCTCTGCGACGCCCCTCCCCCTCTGCGACGCCCCTCCCCCTCTGCGACGCCCCTCCCCTCTCCATCATAATCTCCTCATTATCAGAAAGGGATCAGAAACATAATGACACCTTGCCGATATTAACTACGTTAACCTATTTGTGTTTTTTTATTTTTAAATTATATCATAAAGCTATTTTACATTCGATATTTATTAAATTTTATATACTTCAGCCCCTTGGTGTTAGTTAGACTTTTAACCCTTATTATTATAGTAAGACTTGTTTTAAACTTATTTAAGATTTTAGATTCCTATATGTTGAATGTATGCACCATCCTGCCAAAGTAAATTCCGTGTCGGTGTGAACTTTCATGGCGAATAAAACCCTTTCTGATTCTTATTCTGATTATCATATCAGTAGCATCTCCTTATTAGCATATCATCATTAGCATGTCCTCATTAGCATATCCTCATTAGCATATCCTCTTTAGCATATCCTCATTAGCATATCCTCATTAGCATATCCTCTTTAGAATATCCTCAGTAGCATATCCTCAGTAGCATCTCCTTATTAGCATATCCTCATTAGCATCTCATTACCATATCCTCAGTAGCATCTCAACAGCATCTCCTCGTTAGCATACCCTCATTAGCATATCATTAGCATTTCATTTGCATCTTATTTGAATGCGCAGCATGGGACCGGTTTTAATGCTCGGGGCTGTTGTTGTTTGACGTCGTTGTTTGTTGTTGTTGTTGATGTGGTTGTGTGTTGTTGTTGTTTGACGTGGTTGTGTGTTGTTGTTGACGTCGTTGTGTGTTGCTGTTGTTGACGTGGTTGTTTGTGTTGTTGTTGACGTGGTTGTTTGTGTTGTTGTTGACGTGGTTGTGTGTTGTTGTTGTTGACGTCGTTGTGTGTTGTTGTTGTTGACGTGGTTGTTTGTGTAGTTGTTGACGTGGTTGTTTGTGTTGTTGTTGACGTCGTTGTGTGTTGCTGTTGTTGACGTGGTTGTTTGTGTTGTTGTTGACGTGGTTGTTTGTGTTGTTGTTGTTGACGTGGTTGTTTGTGTAGTTGTTGACGTGGTTGTTTGTGTTGTTGTTGACGTCGTTGTGTGTTGCTGTTGTTGACGTGGTTGTTTGTGTTGTTGTTGACGTGGTTGTTTGTGTTGTTGTTGTTGACGTGGTTGTTTGTGTGGTTGTTTGTGTTGTTGTTGTTGACGTGGTTGTGTGTTGTTGTTGACGTGGTTGTGTGTTGTTGTTGTTGTTGACGTGGTTGTTGTTGTTGTTGTTTGTGGCTCCAGACCACAACCGCATCCACGCGACGGACGTGCTGCACGCCGTGTGGTACCTCACCACGCAGCCCATCCCCGGATTCCCTGAGGTCCCCCGCGACCCGAGCGACACGGCCGGTCCGTACGCGGGGAGCACGCGGGGAGCACGTGGGGAGCACACGGGGAGCACGTGGGGAGCACACAGGGAGCACGTGGGGAGCACACAGGGAGCATGTGGGGAGCACACGGGGAGCACACAGGGAGCACACAGGGAGCACACGGGGAGTACACGGGGAGCACACGGGGAGCACACAGGGAGCACACGGGGAGCACACAGGGAGCACACGGGGAGCACACAGGGAGCACACGGGGAGCACACAGGGAGCACACAGGGAGCACACAGGGAGCACACGGGGAGCACACGGGGAGCACACGGGGAGCACACGGGGAGCACACAGGGAGCACACAGGGAGCACACGGGGAGCACACAGGGAGCACACGGGGAGCACACAGGGAGCACGTGGGGAGCACACAGGGAGCACACGGGGAGCACACAGGGAGCACACGGGGAGCATACAGGGAGCACGTGGGGAGCACACGGGGAGCATGTGGGGAGCACACGCACGTCGTTGTCATCGTTGTCGTCGTTGTCGTGGTGCAGCGTTCACAAAGTCGCGCACGTGGGGCGCGACGGGAGACATGGAGTCGGGGTCCTCCGAGTGCTTGGCGGGCGACGCGGAGTCGGGGTACGGGTGCCTGGCGTCGGTCATCCCCGCGCTGGAGCTGATGGCGCTGTACGTGGCGGCCGCCATGCACGACTACGACCACCCTGGCCGCACCAACGCCTTCCTGGTGGCCACCAGCGCCCCGCAGGTACGCGATGCCCCGCCCACTCGCGACGCCCCGCCCACTCGCGACGCCCAGCCCACTCGCGACGCCCCGCCCACTCGCGACGCCCCGCCTGCTCGCGACGCCCCGCCCGCTCGCGACGCCCCGCCCACTCGCGATGCCCCGCCCGCTCGCGACGCCCCGCCCGCTCGCGACGCCCCCGCCCGCTCGCGACGCCCCGCCCGCTCGCGGCGCCCCGCCCGCTCGCGGCGCCCCGCCCGCTCGCGACGCCCCGCCCACTCGCGACGCCCCCCCCCGCTCGCGACGCCCCGCCCACTCGCGACGCCCCGCCCACTCGCGACGCCCCGCCCACTCGCGACGCCCCGCCCGCTCGCAGCGCCCCACCCACTCGCGACGCCCCACCCACTCGCGACGCCCCGCCCACTCGCGACGCCCCGCCCACTCGCGACGCCCCGCCCACTCGCGACGCCCCGCCCACTCGCGAACTCCCCGCCCACTCACGACGCCACACCCACTCGCGAACTCCCCGCCCACTCGCGACGCCCCGCCCACTCGCGACGCCCCCCCCACTCTCGACGCCCCGCTCACTCCTGGCTCAGGGGCCCAACATCGCCGTCGAATATCGGAACTTGGTCCCGGGACTCCCCCCTGGGCCACCTCCAACATTGGTGAGTCAACGGCGGCCAGGCGGGCGGGCGGGCGGGCGCCGCGCTCGCCCCGGCGGCTCGAGCGAGCTACACGGGGGTCCGTAACCCTTCGCCTTTGTGCGTTACCCCCTAGGCCGTGCTGTACAACGACCGCTCGGTGCTGGAGAACCACCACGCGGCGGCCGCCTGGCACCTGCTGATGTCGCGGCCCGAGTTCAACTTCCTGCCGGGGCTGTGCCACGCGGAGTTCAAGAGGTTCCGCTTCCTCGTCATCGAGGCCATCCTCGCCACCGACCTCAAGAAGCACTTCGACTTCCTCGCCGAGTTCAACGCCAAGGTTGCCCGTGCGCGCCACGTGCGCGTGTAACTGTGTGTGTGTGTGTCAATGTGTGTGTGTCACTGTGTGTGTGTGTCAATGTGTGTGTGTGACTGTGTGTGTGTCAATGTGTGGGGAGCGGTAGTGTAGCGGTTAGCGCGCTGCGCTACGAACCTGGCGACCCGCGTTCGATTCCCGCTCACGGCCAACACCAGTGACGATTATCTGAACCAGTCCCGGGCCTCCCCTAGGTCGACTCAGCCTCAAATGAGTACCTGGTGCGGTGTGTAGTAAACATTGCCACTAGGGAGACAAAGGCGGTCGGGCGTGGTGCTGGCCACCCCACCCCCTCGTGTACCGTTCCGGCCTTCATAGGTGCTCGCTAACAGCACTTGCCCCTACAGTCTGTTAAGGCTATATGGGGGATCTTTGTCTTTGTCAATGTGTGTGTGTCACTGTGTGTGTGTCTGCGTGTGTGTGTCACTGTGTGTTTGTCTGCGTGTGTGTGTCTGTCACTGTGTGTGTGTCACTGTGTGTGTGTGTCACTGTGTGTGTGTAACTGTGTGTGTGTCAATGTCGTGGACAGTGCTGTGGGGGGAGGGCCAATTCCGATTGGCTCCTCCCCTCATGGCGTCTGTGACCACCACAGGGGCTAAACGGGGGCTCTGGACAAGTGTGAGGGGCTGGTAACTCCTCCACCTTCAAAATGTTACCACTAAACCACGTCTAAAATATCTAACTAATAAGCTTGTGCCGGAGGCCCCGGGGGGACAGGCGTCTATGATGTCTCCTGGCCAAACCCCAATTGGCGGAGCCAGGAGATTGAATCTTTACCCTCGGGGCTCCTCCAGAAACAACGAAAAGCCACGTCGTGTGGCCACGTGGAATGTTCGAACGCTCACTGCGGAGGAGAGGCTGCCACTCCTCTGTCGGGAGCTGGACCGGTACCGCCTGGATCTCTGTGGCATTCAGGAGGTCCAGTGGACCGGTTCTGGCTCCTGCCACCATGAGGGGTGGACCGTCCTCTACTCGGGGCAGCAGACTGCCAAACAACACGGTGTGGCTTTTCTTTTGAACAAAAGAATGAAGGGGGCGTGGGAGCGTGGCGGTGAGGTGTGGGAAGCTGTAAGCCCCAGGCTACTTTGGGCTCGCCTTCCCATCAATCGGAGGCGAGGAGTGGTGGTCGTGGTTACTTATGCCCCCACCGAAGACGAACATCCGTGGAGGGATGCAGGCAAAGCCGATGAGTCAGATGCCTTCTATGACCTCCTGTCACAGGTGCTGGCTAAAGTGGCCCCTCGGGATAGAGTCATCTTGTTGGGTGATTTCAATGCCCGAGTTGGTCATGATGCTGGCACCTGGTCTGGAGTAATTGGAGGGCATGGACCAGATCAGCTCAATAACAACGGTAGGAGGCTGCTAGATTTTTGTGCAGCCCATGGGCTTGTAATTACCAACACGCTGTTCCAGTATCGGCGCATCCACACAACATCATGGATGCATGCCGGGTCCAAGCAAGAACATCTGCTGGACTACATAGTGACGGACCAGCGGATGCGAGCCCATGTCCTTGACACCAGGACCTACCGTGGAGCTGATCTGCCCTCTGACCATCGACTTGTCATCTGTAAGATGCGCCTGCCATTCTTCCACTCTGGTGGTGGGTGTACACCCAGGACCCCATTACAACCTAAAGTGGCCTGGTCTCAGTTATCTGATGAAAGTTGCAAGCTAGAATTTCATCATCGCTTGCGGCTGGGATTGGCATCGTCCCCGACTCCTCCTGGGCGAGGTTTAGGACTGTGACTCATGCAGCTGCAATGGCTCCTTTGGGTACGCGGTCCAGACCTCCCCAGAGACCCTGGCTGACAGGATGGTTGAGAAAAAGCGACAGGCCCACTGTCATCGACTACAGAATCCCACATCAGAGAATGAGGAGGCTTACCGCAGCCTTCGCTCGGAGGTTCGGAGAGCCGTGAGGCGCTGCAAGGATGGGTGGTGGTCGCGGGTTGCTGAGGAGATGGAGTCTGCCTCAGTGGCCCGCGATCACAAATCTCTATTTAACTCCATCAAAAAAGTAACCTGCAGCGCCACACCTATTACCATCATTAGGGGAAAAAATGGTGATCCAATCTCCGACCCCCAGGAACAGGTTTGCAGATTTCCTGAGCATTTCTGTGAGGTCCTGGGGGAGGGAAAATCCCTCAGCCAGGAAAACATCGTGGCACAAAGTGAGGATGACCCTGCTAAGGCTGCGGTGCCTCAAATATTGAAAGAAGTCACCCCCTGTGAGTGGCTGACTGAGGTGCCATCTGTTGAGGAAGTACTGAAGGCGATCCGGAGTCTGAGACCAGGAAAGGCAGCGGGCAGAGATGATCTCCCAAGCGAAATGCTGAGGGAGGGTGGCGTTTGTACACAGACTGCCCTATATGACATCATAACAACAGTCTGGACCACTGGACGGGTTCCTCAGGATTGGAAGGATGCCCTGGTGGTCCCCCTCTTTAAGAAGGGAGACCGCACAGACTGTAACAACTACAGGGGCATCTCACTCCTCAGTGTTCCGGGAAAGGTCCTGTCAAGGATTATTCAACATCGCCTTGCCAGGCACGCTGAGGAGAGGCTTGCGGAGCCCCAATGCGGTTTCAGGAAAGGGCGGTCCTGCACAGATGCCATATTTTCTGTCCGTCTGTTACAGCAGAGGTGTAGGGAATTCCAACAAGACCTACATCTCTGCTTTATTGACCTGGTCAAGGCCTATGATACCATCAGTAGGCCTGGGCTCTGGGTTGTTCTTCGTGCTTTTGGAGTACCTGACATTCTGCTCACGATCATTAAGAACCTTCATGATGGTGAGCAGGCCCGGGTAAAACTACGTGGCGGGGAGTCAGAGCCATTCCCTGTACACCTTGGGGTGCGACAGGGATGTCCTCTGGCTCTCACATTATTTAACATCTATTTTGACCACGTAGTTCATGAAGCCTTCAATAGCTGTACCGGGGGAATCTCCATATGGTACAGATATAATGGGAGGCTGATCGATGCCCGGGTGCGGTCAAGGGATGGCTCCCTATTGCTCAACCACGTTATGTATGCTGATGATTTGGTAATAACTGCTCATTCAGAGGAGGAGTTGGAGACGTTGCTTGCTGAGACTGGAGCGTGCCACTAAGAGGTGGGGCCTTACCATCAGCCCCACCAAAACTAAGCACCTGCCTGGGTATTATGTACCATCGGACACTCCACCCCCACAACTCCCAATCGGTGATGGGGCAGTTGTGGAGAGAGTGGAGAGTTTCCCATACCTGGGCAGTGTGCTTATGACCGGCTCCAGTTTAACAGCAGAGGTCTCACTCCGAATCAGTTGAGCGGCAATATCTTTTCATCGGTTGCGTAACGCTGTGTGGAAGCTACCTGGTCTGTCACTCCGCAATAAGCGTCAGGTCTTCTCGGCCACGATCATTCCCTCCCTTCTCTACGCTTGCGAAACGTGGACCCCCCTAATGGAACATCTTCGCCGGTAATAAACATTTAGGGTGGCCTGCCTACAATCCATCCTGGGTTTAACCAGGCTGGATTGTGTGAGGAGCTCACAAATCCTTGAAAGACGTGGGCAAGGTCCCATCGGAGAGCTCCTCCGGCCGGCGAGGCTGTGTATGAATGGGTCATGTAGCACGCATGCCCAGCCACCGCATGTCGAAACAGCTTTTATTTGGCCGGATTGAGGGGGCTAAACGGGTGCGGTACGGGCTAGAGAAGAGATGGAGTGATGTGATACAGGAGGACGTGGAGCTGAGTGGACTTGCTGATGACTGGTACCAGCGGTGTCAAGATCGGCCTCTGTGGAGGAGGCTCGTGAAGGACGCTACTGGGCAGTTGGAGGTAGTCGCCCTCCAACAACAACGCAGGGCGGAGGAGCGACGCTCACAAAAACGAGCGGAGCGCCGGGTGGCTGAAGCACAGCAGGTTGGCACAGTAGGGGACACAGGTGGTGCACCAGCCATTCATCTCAGTCAGTCGACCCGTGGCACTTGGGTCTGCCCGTGACCTCCTGCCAGCGGGCGTTCGACACTGCACGTGGCCTCAAGGTGCACATGGCCGGGCACAAGCGTCGTGGTGACGTCACCGCCACTTAGTGGCGAATGGCGGTTGTTGTTGTGTGTAACTGTGTGTGTGTCACTGTGGGGAGCAGTAGCATAGCGGTTAGCACGCTGCCCTATGAACCTGGCGACACTGGTTCGATTCCCGCTCACGGCCAACACCAGTGACGATTATCTGAACCGGTCCTGGGCCTCCCCTAGGTCGACTCAGCCAAAAATGAGTACCTGGTGCGGTGGATAAAAACATTGCCACTGGGGAGACAAAGGCGGTCGGGCGTGGTGCTGGCCACCCATCCCCTCGTGTACCGTTCCGGCCTTCATAGGTGCTCGCTAACAGCCCTTGCCCCTACAGTCTGTTAAGGCTATACGGGGGATCTGTGTGTGTCTGCGTGTCTGTGTGTCACAGTGTGTGTGTCTGCGTGTGTGTTTGTCACTGTGTGCTTGTCACTGTGTGTGTGTGTAACTGTGTGTGTCACTGTGTGTAACTGTGTGTGTCACTGTGTGTAACTGTGTGTGTCACTGTGTGTAACTGTGTGTCACTGTGTGTGTCATTGTGTGTGTCATTGTGTGTGTCACTGTGTGTGTGTCACTGTGTGTGTGTGTCACTGTGTGTGTCACTGTGTGTGTGTGTCACTGTGTGTGTCATTGTGTGTGTATGTGTGTGTGTGTGGTGGGGAGCAGCAGTGTAGTGGTTAGCGCACTGCGCTATGAACCTGGCGACCGGGTTCGATTCCCGCTCACGGTCAACATCAGTGAGGATTATTTGAACCGGTCCTGGGCCTCCCCTACGTCGACTCAGCCTCAAATTAGTACCTGATGCTATGTGTAGTAAACATCGCCACTGGGGAGACAAAGTCGGCCGGACGTGGTGCTGGCCACCCACCCCCTCGTGTGCCGTCCCGGCCTTCATAGGTGCTGCTCGCTAACAGCACTTGCCCAAACAGTCGATGTGGACTATATGGCGGATCTTTGGCATTGGGCGTTCATGTCACTGCGTTTGCCACCGAGTATCACTGTGGGTGTCACCGTGTTGACCTCCGTCTCTCCACTCCCTCCCCTTCCTCCACTCCTTCTCCTCCCTCCCATCCCTCCCTCCATTCCATCCCCTCCACTCCCTCCCTTACCTCCCTATTCTCCCTCCCTCTCTTCCCTCTACTCACTCCCATCCCTCCCTCCATCCCTCCATTCCCTCCCTCCACTCCCTCCTCTCCCTCCCCTCCACTCCCTCCCTCCCCACTCCCTCCCTCCCCACTCCCTCCCCTCCACTCCCCTCCCTCCCCTCTACTCATTTCCCTCCACTCCCTCCACTCCCTCCCTGCCCGCCTCCCCTCCACCCCCTCCCCTCGTCCTCGCCAGGTGAGCGGTGCGGACGGCTCGGGCATCGACTGGAGCCAGGAGAACGACCGCCTCCTCGTCTGCCAGATGTGCATCAAGCTGGCGGACATCAACGGGCCGGCCAAGATCCGGGATCTGCACCTCCGCTGGACCACGGGCATCGTGAACGAGTTCTACCAGCAGGTGGCGCTCTCCGCTCGCCCGCCCGCCCGCCCGCCCGCTCGCTCGCCCGCCCGCCCTCCCCGCCCGCCCGCTCGCCCGCTCGCCCGGCCTCCCAGCTCGCCCGCTCGCAACGCGAGCGATGCTCTCGATTGCACGTGTTTCATCCGATGTGCGGACGAACCGCGCACACGGTGGATTTTCCGATGAAACGGCCCACACGGAACGGCGAAAACCAGGAGCGCGCTTGCTGTCCTTGGGGGCGTTTGTTGAAAGTCACGCGGTGCTTAAACCAGACAAGTGCGCACGCTCCGGCTAATCCGGAATCCCCGCGATCACCCCACAGTGCGGTAGTTGCGATATCTTTGCAAGAGCGGGGCGCAGTTTTTGACTGACGCTGATTTGGCTGTCCCTCTGCCGCTGTCATCGACTCAGGATTCTGCTGCTGCTGGGCGGGAGCGGGAAAGTGTCACCACTGATCAGCGATCTATACACAGGTATAGATCGCTGATCTATACCTGTGTTACTGCTTTTTGGCATAGAGAACTGCGGGAAATGGAAATATTTTTTGGGTTATCCGCAATTTCTAAATTTTTCCGCGGCTGTCCTCCCCCGTCATTAGCGCGGATAATCGAGAGTCGACTGCATTTGGAGTTTGCGTCCGTGTGTGTCTGGACAAAGTCCCGTCGGTGAGCTCCTCCGGCAGGCAAGGCTGCGTTGGCTGGGTCACGTAGCCCGCATGCCCAGCCACCGCATGCCTAAACAGCTTTTGTTCGGCCGGATCGAGGGGGCTAAACGGGCGCGTCACGGGCCGGGAGAAGAGACGGAGTGATGTGGTACAGGAGGACGCGGAGTTGAGTGGACTTGCCGATGACCGGGACCAGGTTTAAAAACGTATTCTTACGTATTTTTTCATCATCATTTTGATACTGCTGCTGCTGTATAATTGGAGCTTTTTGCGGCGTGCCTCCGGTCTCTTTCCCCGTGGTCGCGTCGATTTTTCTCCGAGCGCCCTCCGGCTATGCTTTTATTATTATTATTTGTATCTTTATGTTATTATTATTTTATTTTATTTATCTCTCCCCCTGCACATTTTTGGAATCGACGTCGCCGCGCGTTTAGAATCATTTGGGCTGCTGCTACGAATTCATAAATATCCGCTCCATGAAGACGACGACGATGACGACGATAGCGACGATGACGACGATGATGATGGCAATGATGACGATGACGATGACAACGATGATGATGACGACGACGACGATGACGACAACGACGATGACGATGACAACAATGATGATGACGACGAAGATGACGATGATAGCGACGACGACGACGATGATGATGACAACAACGACGATGATGATGACGATGACGACAACGATGACGATGACGACAATGACGATGATGATGACGATGAGGACGACGACGACGACGACGACGACGACGATGACGACGATGACAATGACGGGCCGCCACTTCGTTTGAGCAGCCGTCGTTTGTGGTAGCCGAGGGAGGGTGGGTGGGGGGGGGTCGCTTTTGAAAGTAAGGGCTAGGCAGTTCGGTGGGGCCCTTCTTACCTGGTTAAATACAAATAAGATTACAGGGCGGGCGGGCGGGCGGGCGGGCGCCGGTAGCGGTGGTGGTGGCGGTGGAACCTCGGGTCTCTGCCCTCCCATTGGCAGGGCGACGAGGAGGCGACTCTGGGCCTGCCCGTGAGCCCCTTCATGGACCGCACCGCGCCGCAGCTCGCCAAGCTCCAGGAGTCGTTCATCACGCACATCGTGGGGCCGCTGTGCCGCTCCTACGACTCGGCGGGCCTCATGCCGGGGGCCTGGGTGGAGCGCGACCCCGACGAGGCGGGGCGGTCCGCATCGTCGGACGACGAGGAGGACGACGACGACGAGGAGGAGGACGACGAGGAGGAGGACGAGGACAGCGACGAGGACGGCGACACGCGGCACGGTAGGCGACGCCGCATTGCCGCCTCGCTTGGACGCAAACGGGGGCCGTCAGGTTAACGGGGTGACTGAGTTTGGGGGGGGTACCGTCGGGTGTAGGGAGACCTAAAGAAAAATCTGGCCGCGTCTTGCACCCACCCCCGTAGAGGCGTCTGGCACTCCGCGGGGTGTGGTGCGTGCACCCCAGCCTAAGGACCACTGGCTCAAGGGCGAGACAGGGTTTAGGGTTCGGGATTGGGTCCAGGCATCCGAACCTGCAGCTGCACAGCTCAAGCGTAAAATTATCAAGGGGCAAAAACGTCGCTGCCCGGCAATCGATTTGACCACATCCTCCTTCACGGGGTAACCGATGGAGCCACGTCGCCGTTGCATTTTCAGAGGCGGTTTTGCCACCTTCGCCGACGAGGCATCGTCATCGTCAGGGCTCCGGCCCACGCGTTTGAATCCATTGGCCGTTTTGCCAGCGGCACCGAAGGCTTACGGCAGGGGCCGCCCAGTGGCCCCTCGGGCCCTGCGATGTAGAACACCGCTCTGGGGCTCGCCGCGTGCCTCTCTCACGCGCGCTCGGTCTCCTGCCTCTTGCCGCCCCGACGCAGCCAAGCGAATGAGGAAGAAACGCCCGCGCAAGTACTTCTGCCACCTGACGCACCACCTGCTGGAGAACCACGAGATGTGGAAGCGAGTGATCGAGGAGGAGGAGGCGGCGGAGGAGGAGGAGGAGGAGGAGGAGAGGAGGAGGACGAAGGCAGCGATCGCGCCGGCCCAGGGTCAGGGGTCGCCAACGACGACGGCGGCGGCGGCGGCGGAGGCGGAGGAGGAGGAGGAGGATGGGGAGGAAGGTGGCGACCGGCGGCAGTTCAGGCCCTGTGGCGGTGACGACGGCGCTGCTGACGACGACGACGACGGCGACGGCGACGACGGTGGAGTCGGCCGCGACGCCGGGCGCGGCGCGGGCCGCTCCGACCCCCACCGCGTGCGGCGGAGGAAGCGGGCTCGTCGGTGCAGCCACGATGGCGCCGCGTCTCACGCCTGACGCGCCAAGGAGGGACTGGGTGCGTGCGGCGGGGCGAGGCCTGCACGGAGCGAGGCCTGCATGAGGTTTGAATGGGCGAGGCCTACACGAGTCTCACGGGGCGAGGCCTTGGCGAGGCCTTCACTGGGCGAGGCCTTCGCATGACAAGGCCTGGGCGAGGCCTTCACTGGGCGAGGCCTTCGCGTGACAAGGCCTGGGCGAGGCCTTCACTGGGCGAGGCCTTCGCGTGACAAGGCCTTGGCGAGGCCTCACGGGGCGAGGCCTTCGCATGACAAGGCCTGGAAGAGGCCTTCACTGGGCGAGGCCTTCGCATGACAAGGCCTTGGCGAGGCCTTCACTGGGCGAGGCCTTCGCATGACAAGGCCTGGGCGAGGCCTTCGCGAGGCCTTCACGGGGCGAGGACTACGTGGGTCCATATAGGGTAAACGTAAGGGACCAGGTACCCCAAGCGCCATCTATGAAGCGCTGTGCAGGGCTGCAAGCCTAAGGCCTCGCCTGCGCCGCGGCTCTGAATGTCCCATGGCCGTGTTTCTTGTATTTAAGCACAAAAAAAAGAAACGTGTTTGTTTTTCTCTCTCTCTCTGTCACGAAAAAATCTCTTCACGATGTAATCTTCCCACACTTGAGCACTTGGAGGGGGTCCCCAGCGGGGAATGCCTTCGTCCGGACCCCTCCCGTTCTTCCCTCTCAGGGTTTTTGAGTCACGTTTTGTACACCGCAGGAACATGCACACGACTTCTCTAGCCTTGTCGAGTGAGTAGCCCCCTAGTGTCCCGTCGGTCTCCCCCCCCCCACAACCCCACCACCACCCCCACCACCACCCCCATCCGATGGAAGCATATTTTAAGAAGTAATAATAATTTAGTCTTAAGGTATAAATGTTGAAGGACGCAAACGGTACGAGCGTTGATGATGACGACGTAAGATCGATTCGCGATTTAACTTTTGGGCTAGGCACCCCCCCCATTCCCTCCCCCCCCACTCCCTTCCTGTAACGGTGCGGGCCAAATTGACGCCATGAAGAAGCCTCCAAAACCACAACCGACTGGCGGAAATTATCTCTGAATCGTCGCGCGTAACGAGGGCGTCGTAAATGACGACAACGATTGTCTCGACTAGCTCAACGGTTCGGTTTTGAGATGAACGACCTCTCGCCTACGCGTCACCTGCCGCACGCAATTGCGACTCGCGCCCAGTGCAGCCTCGGGTAACTCCAGGATAGCCGGCACGAGAACGCTCGGCGCAGGTCCGAAAAGCGCCAACGCCGCACGCATCTCCGCTGTTTCCAACGTGGTGGCGACGATCTTGGTTTTCCCGCGGCGTTTCCCGGCCCAGCGAGTCGCGAGCGACGCGCAACGCCGCCAGCGAATCACTCGCGACGCCGCGTGGAAATTCGGGCCCTGCGCAGGCTTCTTTACAACGAAACATTTGGGCTGAGCCACCTCCCCCCCCCCAAAAAAAAAACTAAAAAAGAACACTCTTCTTTGGTTCTTTCGGTAAAGTCACCACGTAGAATGAGAATAAAATAATAAATTGATAAAATAAAATAGCGCGATAAAATTCTCACGACGTTTTATCAATTTATTATTTTATTCTCATTCTACGTGGTGGTGACTTTACCGAAAGAACCAAAGAACGATGAATCCTTGCAGTGACGAAAGCTTTAAATCGAAAGAACACTCCCGCTACGAGTCGTGACGTCGCCCGCGAAGGCCACGTGTTCACCCGGTGTTACACGTCATCGTTGTTTGACGTTGACGCGTGCGTACGGGTCGTCGTTGTCCGGGGGCTAGGGCAACGTGGTAGTCGTAGCAGCAGCAGCAGCAGCAACCAACAGATCTGTCGAGATTGGTGTGGTGGAGGGGGGAGCCTCACGCCAATACGACCGGCACAGACTTAAACCGGAATGGCATCCGTGCTCTTTGGCCCTTTCGGCAGAGTCGCCTAGCAGGTAGCAAAAAAGAATAAAAGGTCGACGACGTTTCGATCGCAACGCAAGCGGCCGTCCTCGGGCGGAAACAAAAATTAATCCAGCAGCAGGTTCAGGCGGTTGCATTGCTGCATCATCATCATTATTATTGTTATTATTAAAGAAAAATAACTCCGCCTGAGGAGGACCGCTTGCGTTGCGATCGAAACGTCGTGACCTTTTATTATATTTTTTTGCTACCCACCACGTGGACTTTACCGGAAGAACCAAAGAGCGTGGATTCGTGCAGTCACGAGAGCTTCAAATCGAGACTGGCATCTCGGGCGTCGCACGACGCGCGGGCGTCCTCTGTTCCACCGTCTCTCTCTCCTCTCCTCTCTCTCCCGCGAGAACGATGACAATCGATTCATTTCGTGAGTCATTAAAAGAAAAAATAGGCGCTGAGTCGGGTTTTCAACGGCACGGATGGTGGGCCTGGGTCCGTCGCCGTTGCATGGCCCGACCCGACACATCGGATGATGCGATGCGATTCAACGGAGGCTGCGAACACGTCACCCCACCGCCCCCCACCGCCCCCCAACTCGTCAAAGTCTCGAGACGCTGCGCAAAGACAAAGCAACAACCACGCACCACCACCACCAAACAACAACGACAATGCAACAACCACGCACCACCACCACCAAACAACAACAAAGCATCAACCACCACCACCACCAAACAACAACGACAATGCACCAACCACGCACCACCACCACCAAACAACAACGACGAAGCAACAACCACGCACCACCACCAAAAAACAACGACAAAGTAACACCCACCACCACCACCAAACAACAACAAAGCAACACCCACCACCACCAAACAACAACAAAGCAACACCCACCACCACCACCACCAAAGAACAACAAAGCAACACCCCTGCACCACCACCAAACAACAACAAAGCAACACCCACCACCACCACCACCACCAAAGAACAACAAAGCAACACCCACCACCACCAAACAACAACAAAGCAACACTCACCACCACCACCAAACAACAACAAAGCAACACCCACCACCACCACCAAAGAACAACAAAGCAACACCCACCACCAAACAACAACAAAGCAACACCCCTGCACCACCACCACCACCACCAGACAAAGACAAAGGTACCCCGCGTAACCTTGCCCCCCCCCCCCCCCTTTTACCCCGTTCCGAGGACGTCTCCTGCCAGTTGCAGGCTCGGCGGGCGAGGTGCTGTCCCGTTCGCCCGCCCACTCTCGGCGTTCATTTACATTTCGGGAGGGGCGCGGCGGTCGCCGCAGCAGCAGCAGCAGCGGCGGCAGCGGCAGCGGCGGCAGCGCCGTTGCGTTTCCAGCGACGTCGGCGCCACCAAGGGCCGCAGCGCCACGGCCGCCGCGGGGACTTGCCCGCGGGGCCCGCGCCCTTTGCGGGAGCCTCGGCACCGGCGAGGAATATTTAATTTTTCGTTTTTATTCCGCGTATTTTTATTTTAAAAGACGTACAATTACGTCATCGGAACGGGGCGGGCGGGGGCGGCGGGGGGGGGAAGGTGTTAAGTACGTCATCCCGTACTCGTTTGGATTGCTGAGTCGACCTAGGGGGCAGACCCAGGATCGTCTCGGACAATCGGCACCGGTGTTTGGTGGTCGTGAGCGCAGTGCACTAAGCGCTCCCCACAACCACCGCCGCCACCACCACCGCCATCGTCGTCGCCATTGAGTGGATCGCAGAGAGGACACAAGCGGGTGATATATATATACACACGTACACACGCGTCTTTATTTTTTTTTGTAAGAAGCGAGGAGGGCTAGAGTTGGAGCTCGGGGGTTAACGGTGCTGATGAAGACGGACGCGCGGGGCGACTGAATCTCAGCTGAGAGCGACCCCAGCGAGAGAGAGAGGAGCTGGCGGATGCGTTTAGGTGGTGGTGGTGGTAGTGGTGGTGGATGATGAATGGATGGGGCGATGGGGTGATGGATGGGTGGGATCCACGTGACTTATACTCGGGTGCTTGGTAGGGGTTGGTTTTGGGGGGGGGGGGCGGGTTTGCCACCCTCCACCACCTCCCCCGCCCCCCTCCCCCCCACCCCTTCCCACCGTGTGGAAATATCCCCGGGTTGTTGTTGTTGGTTGTTATTGGTTGTTGGTTGTGGTGCTTCTTTGGCTGTCGCTCTGTTGGACAGCAACCCCGCAGGGTCGGGGCCAGGCGGGGGGCGGAGTCAGATTGAGGGGGGAGGGGCCAGGCGGGGGGCGGAGTCAGATTGAGGGGGGGTGGGGCCAGGCGGGGGGTGGGGCCAGGCGGGGGGGGGGGTCAGTTTTGTGTATTATATTAAAAAAAGAGGGAACGCATATTTTTAAATTGTGTCTTTTAAATGCCTTTATTATTATTATAATGTTATTATTAAACTATATTTGTTCACCTGCCAAGTTTATTGCGTATTTTGTTCCTCCCGAATGCTTTTTTTTAATATTCTTTGTTGGTTTGGGAAAAATTAAATAAAATAAACCCCGCGGTTTAACGGAGTCGAGGCGCACGACCCATCCCCGATAGTTCGACGCCACACAGGCGAATCGGGGGGGCGTGGGGGGGTGTGGGGGGGGGTGTGTGGGGGGGGGACTCCTCCGTCCTCCACCCTCCATGCCCACCCACCCACCCCCACCAGATGCGCTTCGACCTCGCAGTGCCGTCAGATGTGAACACAGGGAGGGGTTGCTTCAGCAAAAAATCACAAAGGTCAACAAACTTCCGAGACATTTGCAAGGACACCAACGAGAATTGTGCTGCCTCCGTGCTCCGTGGACCACCTGGAGAAGATTCTAGGCCACGCGTTGACAACGATGGCGAGCAAGTGGGGGAGAGACTCTTTGACCTTTTGAAGCTGTTAACATTTACATTTGGCATCGTGTCACGGTGTAAAATTATCCCATTAAAAAACGACAGTCCCATGTAAGTGTTAACGTCTTTCTTGAGGCACCATGCACTTCACGATTAGCCAAGAGGGTTCGCCTCGGGCCCCGCACTACTCCCTATTGAGGGCTAAAGGGGGGCTGAGGGGAGGGGGTGCCCTACCCCCCCACCCCCCCAGATACGCTTCGACCTCACGGTGTCGTCAGGTTTAATAACACCAAAGAGCTGTGTCGTGAGACACCAAGCACCTGTCCTGTGAGACACCAACCACCTGTCCCGTGAGACACCAAGCACCTGTCCTGTGAGACACCTGTCCCACCAGACGCCTGTCCCACCAGACACCTGTCCCATGAGACACCTGTCCCACCAGACGCCTGTCCCACCAGACGCCTGTCCCACCAGACACCTGTCCCACCAGACACCTGCCCCACCAGACACCTGTCCCTGATACACCTATCCCACCAGACACCTGTCCCACCAGACGCCTGTCCCACCAGACACCTGTCCCTGATACAACTGTCCCACCAGACACCTGTCCCGTGAGACACCTGTCTCACCAGACACCTGTCCCACCAGACATCTATCCCACCAGACACCTGTCCCACCAGACACCTGTCTCACCAGACACCTGTCCCGCCAGACACCTGTCCCACCAGACATCTGTCCCACCAGACACCTGTCCCAACAGACACCTGTCCCTGATACACCTGCCCCACCAGACACCTGTCTCACCAGATACCTGTCCCACCAGACACCTGTCCCATCAGACATCTGTCCCACCAGACACCTGTCCCACCAGACATCTGTCCCACCAGACACCTGTCCCACCAGATACCTATCCCACCAGACGCCTGTCCGGTGAGACACCTGTACCACCAGAAACCTGTCTCACGAGACGCCGGTCCCACCAGACACACCAGACACCTGTCACACCAGACACCTGTCCCATAAGACACCTATTCTGTGAGACACCTGTCCCACCAGACATCTGTCCCACCAGACACCTGTCCCACCAGATACCTATCCCGCCAGACGCCTGTCCCGTGAGACACCTGTCCCACCAGACACCTGTCCCACCAGACACCTGTCCCACCAGACACCTGTGCCACAAGACACCTGTCCCACCAGACACCTATCCCACCAGACACCTGTCCCATGAGACACCTGTCCTGTGAGACACCTGTCCCACCAGACACCTGTCCCACCAGACACCTGTCCCTTGATACACCTGTCCCACCAGACACCTGTCCCACCTGATGCCTGTCCCACCAGACGCCTGTCCCACCAGACACCTGTCCCACCAGACACCTGTCCCTGAGACACCTGTCTCACCAGACGCCTGTCCCACCAGACACCTGTCCCATGAGACACCTGTCCCACCAGACACCTGTCCCGTAAGACACCTGTCACACCAGACACCTGTCCCACCAGACACCTGTCCCACCGGACACCTGTCCCACCAGACACCTGTCCCACCAGACACCTGTCCCACCAGACACCTGTCCCACCAGACACCTGTCCCACCAGACACCTGTTCCGTGAGACACCTGTCCCACCAGACACCTGTCCCGTGAGACACCTGTCCCACCAGACATCTGTCC